CTACGAGTGGCGTGCGAGATGCCCTCTCCTTATACGCAGCACGCCACAAAACTGGCGCAACTCGAGCCATGCGTGCGCTGCCACTGGAGCCTTTTGGCGGAGCTCCCAATGGGGCAACGAAGCGTGTGAGGGGTATGCCAAATCGAGCGCGGCTGTCACGCGGGCGCTGCCACTGGAGCCTTCGGCGGAGGCCCCAAGTGTGGGCACGAAAAGTGCGAGGAGTGTGGAAAACTGGACCTGGACCATCACGCGGGCGCTGCCATTGAGGCCTTCGGTGGAGCCCCCCATGGGGCCAAGATGCGTGAGACGGGTGTACCCAAGTGGACCCGAGTCCGAAAGCGGGCGCTGCCGCCGGGGCCTTCGGCGGAGCTCCCTATGGGGCGACGAATTGTGTGAAGGGTGTGTCGAAGCAGAAGAACGCAGTGGGCAGAGGCACGAACGGGAGGAGAAGGCGAAGGAGGTGAGGACGGAAGGACGCGGGGCAATGCTGAAAAATAGAAAACACGACACAACATAATGGCCGGGATGATTGCACTATGGGATTACATATGACATATGGATACGCCTGGGGATACATCTACACATTATGGAACATGGTCACTTACGCATACGAAGCAAGCAAGCAAGAACAACGATATGAACAAAACATCACATGAGAGAGAGATGGTCACATATGAGCGGGATGGAGGGTAATATCCATTAGAGAAAAATGTCAGAAATAATATGGGGGCGCCCCCCCACTCCATCCCGTAAGCTCTGCCCCGCCCCCCACCAACCCCTTTTTCCCCCCGTCCACATCTCATTCAAAACGCCCACAGAATCCCAAAGGACTCCCACGGATCTCAAATTCACCGCTGTTGTCCCCTTGTCTCCCCGTGTCTCTGTCTATAACTGTCATGCTCCCAATCTCTGTTCCTCCTCCCTCGATCCCGCCTCCTCTGCGATCCTCTTCGCATTATGTGCTGTCTACCCACGCTTTTTGTTGTCCAGGGGTTGATTCTGCGACAACGACCCATACAAGGTGCCGCCGTCGTCGCGTTGTTGCCTGGGCTTCATCCCAGGCAAACAGATCGCGCTCAGATGGCCGGCAACGCTGGCGCCACTACATTCTAGCGCTGGCTATGTACACCCACAGGTCGGCGCGTAAAGCCTTGTCGACGGCATTGTCCGCTGATGCGAACCTCTCCCACGAGGGATGCACGCGCCGAGCGTGGCACGGGTCCAAAGTGGCGCAGACGATCTCGTGGGTGTAGACGGCCTTGGGTGCGATTTCAATGATCGAGAACATGGCGGAATCGTCACCCGTGCAAACTAACCCACGTGCACCATGTCAGCAACCAGGGCCCCGTCGGCAAGGGCAAAATGGGAACGACAGCCACGACTTGCTGGATTGCAATGTACCGGAACCCCTTGCTGCTGGCAGCCGCCCTCCCGCCACCCTTGCCACCGTGGTTCGCCACGGCCGCCCACCGCGCTCTGGCCCTACGCGCCTGGCTGCTGCTGCCCCCCCCGGCTGCTCGTCGTCGAACTCTTCGGTGTCTGAGCGTCCCTTTTTCCTCTCGGCCGTCCCCACCACCCCCTCTTTGCCAGCCGGTCAATTCGCTAGTTAGTGCCCCTGTCCAGCTTCTCGCTGGAGCGGAGTTCGCCGCCTCGCCGCTGACGAACAACAAAAAAATCCTGGAGCCCCCGCTCGCGGGGCACAGCGGGGCACAGCGGCGGCCGTGATCTGCGACTGGCGCCCGGTGTCCCCAGGCTATCAGCAGCCCACGGCGGTGGCACCGCCGCCCTCACCGCCGCCGGTGGTGACGAAGCAGGGCCACTCGCGCAGAGCGAACGGCACCCCGCGCCCCACCTGCTCCTCGGCTGCCGTGCTGCACCACTCCAACGACAGCTGGAGGGACGCGGGCAGCCCCGCCCGACCCTCGCCGTCGAACTCAGGGGGGCGAGAAATGGCATGGGCATGAGCTTCGGCAAGTCCGCGCGGACTTCCTGGATCGGCGCTGGAGCCCCCTGGCGGCCCACCCAAGGCGCCCTCTCGATGATCCAGCCTCGGCTGCGAGCCGGCGCCCTTTCGCCAAATATCGGCCCCAAATCGGACACCAGCGCCTCGGCTCCGTCTCTTCGTAGCCGCGCAACCAGGCGGAGCATTCGAGAGTAGTGTCTCCATGAGGTGCCCCTCGTTATGCAATCAGGACGTTCGGCCGACACGCCTGACCCCAATGGCCACCTGTCCCAAAGATGGACAGGTGCTGGGGGTGCGGAACTCTCGATCAAAAAAACGAGAACCAAAGAGACAAACGAGAGTGAGAGAGAGAGAGAGAAAAAAGGAGAGAGCGAGACAGAAAGAGGGGGAGTCGCATGAGGAAAGAGAGGGACAGTATACAGCAGGGCGCGCTGGTTACCACGGTGCCTTCGTGATGGCGGCTGTCAGGGTCGTCTTGCCATGGTCGACGTGACCGATGGTGCCGATGTTCAGGTGCGGCTTGGTCCGGCTGAAGACCTGACGAGAAGAAGGAGCAGCACCAGCAGAAAGGAGAAGTTGAAAGGAGGAGGGAGTCACTGCCACTGCGTCATCCTTCTCCTCATCCTCCTAATCATCATCATCATAATCATCATCAGCATCATCATCCTCACCATAATAATCATCATCATCATCATCATCATCATCATCATCATCATCATCATCAGCATCATCATCATCATCATCATCATCATCATCATCATCATCATCATCATCAGCAGCAGCAGCAGCAGCAGCAGCAGCATCATCATCATCATCATCATCATCATCATCATCATCATCAGCAGCATCATCATCATCATCATCATCATCATCATCATCATCATCATCATCATCATCATCATCATCATCATCATCATCATCAGCATCAGCATCAGCATCATCATCATCAGCATCAGCATCAGCATCATCATCATCATCATCAGTATCATCATCATCATCATCATCATCAGCATCAGAATCATCAGCATCATCACCATCATCATCAGCATCATCACCACCACCACTACCATCATCATCAGCAGCATCATCGTCATCGTCATCGTCATCATCAGCATCATCGTCATCATCATCATCCTCATCCTCATCCTCATCCTTCTCCGTCCTCCTCCTTCTCCTCCTCAGGCCTCCTCTTCTGTACTCCGTCCTCCGTCCTCCGTCATCCGTCCTCAATCCTCCTCCCCCATCTCCCTACTGCCGCCAACGCTCGGCCAATCTGACTACGGACATGTCGCCGTCCGATTCACAAGGGATCCGATGCCGGGGCCGCGGTTGCAGCAGGCGAGGAGGAGGAGGAGGAGGAGGAGCCGGACAAGTGAGCACTGGCAAGGTTCTCCTCCCCCTGGCAGGGGAGAGGGGAAGAGACCGAAAGGAGGGAAGAGAGCGGAGCTGTAAGAAAAAGGGGGCAGTCGAGGGAGGAGGAGGAGGAGGAGGAGGAGGAGGAGGAGGAGGAGGAGGAGGAGGAGGAGGAGGAGGAGGAGGAGGAGGAGGAGGAGGAGGAGGAGGAGGAGAGGAGGAGGAGGAGGAGGAGGAGGAGGGGGGGAGGAAGGGCGAGAGGGGGAGGAGGGGGCAGGGAGGAGGGGAGAGGAGGGGGAGGGGGGGGGGGGGGCGAGGAGGGGGAGAGGGGCGAGGGGCGGCAGGAAGGGTCGATGAGGCGAGCAGGAAGGGGGGGAGGGGGGGCGAGGAGGGGGAGAGGGGAGGGGGCAGGGGAGGGCTGGAAGCAAAGGAGATCGAGAGGAAGGTCAGGCGGAAGAGGGGTGAGGGACTCTGCTTCCCTCCTCCTTCGCCCCTCCCTCTTGGGGCGGAGGAGGGGGACGACAACGACAAAGAGGAGGTGCAGCGGCAGGCTGAGGACAAGGCGGAGAGAGGACGACGTGAAGAGAGGAGGGAGGGGTGAGGAGGCAGGAGGGACGAGCGAGAAAGAAGGGGTGAGAGGAAGATAGGGGAGGGAGGGAGGGAGAGGGCAAAGGGAAGGTGAACGGGAGGAGGAGAAAGAGGACGAGGAGAAGGAGGAGGAGGAGCAGCAGCAGCAGCAGGAGGTAAGAGGAGACAAGAAAGGTCCAGGAGATGAAGAGGGGAAGCAGGAAGAGGGCGAGGACGGTATAGAGGAAGATGAGAAGGAGAGAGGAAGGTGGAGGCAGGGAGGGAGGGAGAGGGGGAGGGGGGGCAGGGGAGGGGGGGAGGGGAGGCAGGAAGGGGAAAAAAGAAATGAATTGGAACACGTTGTACCCGCGCTCGTGGAACGCTCTCGGGAGTGAGGGAGGGAGGGAGTGGAGGGAAGAGGAGGGGAGACGCAGACGAGGATGAAAACGAGGATGTTGTTGACGATGATGATGACGATGACAATGACGATGAGGATGACGATGACGATGGCAATGACGATGGCAATGGTGACGACGATGATGCTGATGATGATGATGATGATGATGATGATGATGATGATGATGATGATGATGATGATGATGATGATGATGATGATGATGATGATGATGATGATAAAAACAACGATGATAATGACAATGGTGATGACGATGACGATGGCAATGACGAAGACGATGACGATGGTGATGACGATGATGATGAAGATGAAGATAAAGATATAGATAAATATAAAGATAAAGATAACGATAAAGATAAAGAAACATGTAAAGATAAAGATAAAGATAAAGATAAATATACATATACATATAATGTTAAAGGTAAAGATAATGACAAAAATAAAGATACAGGCAATGGTAAAGATAAAGATAACTATAAATGTACAGATAAAGATACAGATAAAGATAAAGATGAAGATGACGATGACGATGCCGATGACGATGATGCTTACGATAATGATGATGATGATGATGATGATGATGATGATGATGATGATGATGATGATGATGATGATGATGATGATGGTGGGGATGATTGGGATTCTGATGACGTCGATCGTGATGACGATGGTGATGGTGATGGTGATGGTGATGGTGATGGTGATGCGGTGGTGATGTTGATGATAACGTTCATGGTGATGATGGTGATGATGATGATGAGTACGATGGTGGTGAAGAAGATGACGATGAGTATGCTGATGATGATGATGGTCATGATGATGAGTATGATGGTGGCGACAGTGACGATGATGATGATGATAATGGTGGTGGTGGTGATGGTAACGATGATGATGATGATGATGGTGATGATGATGATGGTGGTGATGTGAAGATGTGATGATGTTGATGCTGTTGATGATGATGATCATGATGGTAATGGCGCTGGTAATGATGATGACGATGATGATGATGCGTATGATGATGGTGATGATGATGGTGATGTTGATTGATGGTGACGATGATGAATGACGACGAGGAAGATGATGACGACGATATCGATGATGATGATGATGATGGTGGTGGTGGTGGTGGCAATGATAACGATGTCGGTGATGATGGTGGTGATGATAAAATGTGATTACGATGATGGTGTTGATGATGTTGATGATGTTGATGACGCTACTGATGATAATGGTGATGAGGATGGTAAGGATGAGGACGCGGAGGAGGCTGGTTGGCATGATGATCGTGATAGTGATGATGGCTTTGCTGATGATGGTGATGATGATGGTGATGATGATGGTGATGATGATTATGGTGGTGATGATGATGGTGGTGATGGTGACGATGATGATGAGAGTGATGATGATGATGAAAATGACAATGATGATGATGATGCTGATGATGGTGGTGGTGATGATGACGACGATGACGGTAAAAAGATGGTGATGGTGATGGTGATGATACCGATGACGATGGTAGTACTGACGGTGATGCTGGTGATGGTGATGATGGTGGTGATGGAGATGGTAATGATTACGATGATGCTTAAAGCGATGATGATGATGATGATGATGATGAGGAGGAGGAGGAGGAGGAGGAGGAGGAGGAGGAGGAGGAGCAGGAGTTGGAGGAGCAGTGTGGAGGAGGACTTGTGCGGAGAAGGAGGAGGAAGAGGAGGAGGCGGAGGAGGAGAAGGAGGAGGAAGAGGAGGAGGAGGAGAAGGAGGAAGGGGAGGAGGAGGAAGAGGACGAGGAGAAGGAAGAAGAGGACGAGGAGGAACAGGAGGCAGAAGAGAAGAACGCAAGAGGATCGTGTTTCCCTTGCCAGCCGCCGCTCTCGAAGTCGAGACCACGGAGCCCGGCCCTCGGCCTTGCCCGCTGCGCGCGGACCCGGGGCACGCCCGCGGTCGCCGGAAAAGGAATCCGCCCGTTCGCAGTGTCTGCTGTCAGAGATTGAGGCAACTGGACGAGCGCGTTCCCCTACTCGCAAAGGTGGCCACTCGCAAGTGGCCTGGAGCCGCCGCGGGGGGTGCACGATCCATTACGTCATCGAGGAGGACATGTGACTTCCGAAGGTCTGCGAGGAGGCACTTTTTGCGAGCAGTGGAACGCGCTCGGTGAGAGGCAACGCTTCCAAGGCCCGCGTGGATGGTCGACTTCGCGGCAGCGCCGGGTGGAAGATGGGGCACGGAGACCTTGAGAACTTCCTGGGGGTGCTAGAGACCCTGGCCCCAGGTGCCCCCAGCTTTTCGCTCCATTTTGAAGCCTCTGGGACCCACTGGGCCTCGTGAGGGGTGCCCTGGAGGCCGTGGGGGCCTCCTTGGAAATCCTGGGGGCACCCTGGGCCAGGGGCACTTCTGGCAGCACTCGAACCTTATGTCTGCGTACCTGGACTAAACGAAGCTTGGCCAGGCGCCGACGCACAGGCCACAATCCACCCAACACTCGTTGACCCGCCCCAAAAAGGATGGCATGTCACTATTTTCTGCGGCACGACAAGTCACACCGGGAAGTGTGCATGCGAAGACGGGCTGCGCAACTGCCTGAGTGTTGTCAGTCGGCTGACTCTGTCGGGGCCTGCTGGGGAAGAAGCTCCTGCTTGAATTTCTGCTCGTGAGAGACTCGTAAACTTGTGCACGGTTGCGTCATCTACTTGCTGACGGGCTTCCTGGTGCAACCGAGCAATTCCCACGAACACGTCCCCTGAGCGGCGCTTCAATTCGCTAGTGGGCATCCTCCCACTCCGATAGGCATTGCTCATCCGCCACCATGCCCCCTGGCACGTCGAGGGGTGGCGTGAAGCCGAGTGCTTCATGGCAACATGTCTGCGAACTCCTCCTCCTCCTCCTCCTCCTCCTCCTCCTCCTCCTCCTCCTCCTCCTCCTCCTCCTCCTCCTCCTCCTCCTCCTCCTCCTCCTCCTCCTCCTCCTCCTCCTCCTCCTCCTCCTCCTCCCACCCCAAACAATACAAGAAACCATGTGTTTGGGGCCCACGCTGGCTAACAGTCAACGATTTCGCTCTCTGCGCAGGTCGGTCGGCCCAAGATCAGCACTCCGAGGCCCAAGACGACCCGCTGAGGGCCCCCCAAAGGGCCTCCCAGGCGGCCCAGCACGGCCCCACGAGCGCCCCGGGCTGGTCCAAGAGGGCCTCCTGAAGAACC